ATGTACAATTTTGGAAGCTTGATCTGTCCAAGCTACATTTATGCTTGATCCGTTGTGCTAGCTTAGGTGCACCACTCAGTTGTAAGATTGGGCGAAGGTCAAAGATGCCGTTCAGACGGAAGGAAAAGACACATAAGGAAGTTAGGAAATGTGCAATTCAATGGCATCATGGGAAAATGCAAACGTAATTCCTACACCATCTTAGATTTACTGATAGTCTCGGAACCTGATCAATCGGTATAAAAGGTAAAATGTCTAAACTAGGATAAATGTCATTCTTGGTTGGCCGATTAGCATCCGGGAGCAACAGTCAAGAACAAGAATAATGGCGTACTCAACTGGGGCGAGAGTAAGCTTGTGTTTCCAATGGGTATTTTGTTAGAATACCAATCCAAACTGCTTGAAGTACGCTTACTACCAGCAGATTGGCAACACTCTCCTGTCAGCATAAATTGAAAACCTTTATGAATTTATGAACTCGCTTGGTATGGGCGTGTACTGGTGTTATGCAGTCAACGTCCTGAATGCTGATAAGTTCATAAAGAAATTAGTAGAAGATATGAAGAGAGTCTGGGTTTCAAAGAATCCTTTGGTAGATTGATACTGGCCTGCCTTTCATTTCGTTTGAGAAAGCGGGAGGAGGGGATTCGTAGATTGACCTCACAGTATAGCGAAGGTGGGTTGCCTTGGGCTCTTATTTGTTGAATTGTGAGGAAAAGACCTCGGATCACGGTCCTAAGACCCAGATGACTCCGTTCTGAGCTTTCCTCCTTCATGTGACGGACATCGTCAGAGCCGGAAACCATTATTCACGAAAAATCACCAGAAAACACTATACCGAGAAGGGTGGCTGGCTGAGATCATACTTTGCGATCCTAATGTGGCATTCCATGAGTTGTTTAGCTGCTTTATGTTTGTCCCACATGCATGCTCGTCAATAATGGTTTCTAGCTTGACGATATCCATCACATAAAGGACGAAAGCTCAGAACGGAGTTAGCTGGGTCGTAGGACGGTGATCCAAGGTCTTCTCACAATTCAATAGACAATAGTCCAAGGCAACCTTCCTTTGGTATACAATGCGGAAAATCTAAAAATCCCTTCCAACCGACTTCTCAAACGAAATGAAAGGCATGCCATATAGAATTTGTAGAATGTCTAGAAACACCAGTCTTAGGCTTAAATTTTGAAAAGCTATCTTGTCCAGGGTGGACGACTGAATATCATCATCAGCCCCAACGGGATTCGAAGCCGATAGCATGTGACAGCGCAGCCAGAAAACGATTAGACAGCAGAGAAGCTGCCAATTACGAGGCAAGCCGGAACTCTCCCAATTTATTGTAGATATGAAGACCAAGATGGTGTGTCCTTCTGTTCGATCGCAGTATCCTTTAGCTTTATAGTTGGTTCGACCTCGGTAGGAGCGTCAGGGAGACCTTGTGGAACGTACCTAGTCCCATTTCCTCTGCCATTGGTTGGGTACATTCCTAAACGTTTCGCCGGCATCGTCAGTAAAAGGCGCAATCTTAAGCACAAAGTTACAATTTACCAAATGGACAAGTCATATTTGGACTGAGCAAGTGTCGGCACGGTAAACTGGTAGGTGCCAGCAAACCTAAAAGTCGCATGAGCTCTAGGAACCTTGGCGCAAGGGCCATGACTGAGCAAGATCCATTTTTGAGATCTGTCAGAAGTGCTGATGAAACGGTCTACTCTAGACGAGAAAGCATATTTGGGGGCGACCGAAGGCAACACTATTTCTCATGAGTGTATAATAGTTCTGTCGTTCTAATGTCTGTTATTATGTCGACGCCTGTAGAACTCTCATTATAGAGTATCGAGTCAAGCAAAGATGTATCAGCACATCCCTCTTCTCTTCTCTTCCTCGACTCATTAAACTCTTTCATACTCTCTTCTCTACATTCCTTTCCATCATGCTTCCAAAGATGGGCAATTCCTCTTCCCTTAGGTTGGTAGTGCCGATCCAGGAAGAAAACGCAAAACAAATGATCGCAAATATTACTGACAACACCACAAACAATGATAAAAATTATAAATGTCCGGATGGAAAAACGCAAGCCATCAATTTAATTGTGAAATTTGACTGATTGGGCGGACGCTCACCGGCCACTTGGTCACATCCTCTAGAGACCAGGCAAAGGCACCAACGGACTGGGGATCGAGGCAGAAATCGGGGTCGAGGCCGCAAACGGGACCTATCTGGCGCTCTTTTCCAGCACTGGAGCTCCTCGGATCTCGGGCCACAGACCAATCACCACGAGCATCAGTCCTGCTTTTGCTAAACTGACTGCCGATAATTTTGGAATCACCTGCCACCAAATTTTGGGACGTCACAGATGAAAGAAATGTGTCAATGTAATAATCTTCTAACGCATCCGACCCCCCAACTCTCAGAAGTCCGCGATTAATTTGATTTTTCTCATTTTTTGCTTCCATCAGAGCTATTTTTGGCCTGAAAATGCCTCCTTCCAGTGACCAGCCTAACGACCGATTCAATTTGCGTAGTTGTCTAGACAGCTTGGTGAGAGTTCCTGAACCTGTGGATCCAAGAGCCTTGGAATGTAATGAGTAAGGCTCGACATCCGAGAAGATTCTAGGAGGATCCTTCAGTTTCAAAGACTCTGAAAAAAGATATGCATCAGAATCTGCAGATCCCCGCCGACGTAAATCGTGATCAGGCTGCAGCGGAGTCTCCGAGCGGCCGAAAAAGGGTACCATATTTGTAGAAGTGTATAGTTTAGTGAAAGAGGCGTTGGTTTTGAGATCGACGATATAATACTCTGGATTATAACGCAAGAGAGGCAGCAGATGAGAATTAGCACTGGAAAGAGAATGACTGTGGTCTTTGGAAATCTGTGATCGCAATGGTTTCCATTTAATCTTGTTTCTGCCCGCCAGCCCAATTGTCCGTCCCGTGACCTCCATTTTCGACTCCTTCTCCAGATAAGGAATCTTCGCAGGCCGGTTTACTTGCTGGTAAAACGGCTGTGCTTCAGTACCTACGATTGCTGGTAGATACTGTCGATGGAAAACATAATTTGGTTGAAGTGACTGGCCAAGAATCGGCTTTGTAGTTGGCGATAATGCCGAAAGCCTGGGGCTATCTGGACTATACTTCAGCCAGGTGGAGAGTGTGTGCGAGCAGCCTCGTCGACTGGTCTGAAAGCATCCACCACCGTCGTTGCGAACGCAACACCCAGACCTAAACAGGGATGGTAGTAGCAAATTTTAAATAAAATTGGGATGCTTAAATGTTTATCCAAATGAG